AGAAGCGAGATTCATCCTTTGATTCACAAATAAAACGTCTGATCAGAGAAGAGTTTCGTCTGCTGCAAAACAGCTTCTGTGCTAAAAACGAAACGCTTTGCCGCTCAGGACCGAAAGGTAATGCAGGAAAACGGGGAAGACCTGGAACCCGTGGGAGACGAGGTCCCCCAGGGAAACCTGGGTCAGAAGGACCACCAGGACCTGTAGGTATAAAGGGGGATTTCGGAGTACCTGGGGACCCTGGTCCCATGGGTCCCCAAGGACCAGCAGGACCCGCAGGTGTAAAAGGGGATCTCGGCGTACCGGGGGACCCTGGTCCCAAGGGTCCCCAAGGACTAACAGGACCCGTAGGTGTAAAAGGCGATCTCGGAGTACCGGGGAGTCCGGGTCCCACGGGTCCCCGAGGACCAGCTGGACCCGTAGGTGTAAAAGGCGATCTCGGAGTACCAGGAAATCCTGGTCCCATGGGTCCCCAAGGACCAACAGGACCCTTAGGTATAAAAGGTGATCTCGGAATACCGGGGGTTCCTGGGTCCATGGGTCCTAGAGGCCCACCAGGTCAAAAGGGAGCCAAGGGTGAGCCAGGCCAGTCCATCACGGCTCCTTCTCTACTGCAGAGTCCTCTTCAAACAACTATCAATCAAAGTCAGACGGCCGTCTTGAAATGTTCAGCAGATGGTTACCCAACTCCGCTAGTCACATGGTCTAAGATGAATTCGCAGCTACCTGTGGGACGCCACGTGGTAGAGGCCAGTGGTGCTCTGATTTTGAAGGACGTACGGCCCGGGGATGACGGAGTCTATAGCTGCAAAGCTAAAAATCTACTGGGAAGTGTGGACGCTTCAGCGAAACTCACTGTACAGTGTAAGTACACTATAACTGGTCATAATATTCTGAAACGAATAGAATTACAATTTCATATATCGGCAATTCTAACACTCCTAAGTTAGACTGTCAATTAAACAAGCTTTATTCTCTTTTTTTGTACCAGTTGGTCCGCAACTTTCATTGTCATCCAATCGAGTGAGGGCTGAAGAGAATCAAAAAGTAACCATCTCCTGCACTGTTACTGGTCAGCCACCGCCTAAGATCACGTGGTCCAAGGCAGGTGGAAGTGTACCTGTAGGCAGAATCCATGTGCAAGATGGAACCCTAAAAATCTTCAAAGTCACAAGAAAAGATGGTGGAATATACATTTGTAAAGCAGAGAATATTCTGGGTTCGGTGATAGACACTGCTCAGCTTATTGTATACTCTCCTTTGCGGTTCACAGTCCTTCCTCCACAACAAGTGACTCCTTACTATGGTTTAACTCTCCGTCTGCCGTGTGTGGTCGACAGTGAGCTGAGTACTACTATTTCTTGGTTAAAGAATGGCGTCAGTGTACTTCCGGCAAACACACATGTTCTTCAAAGCGGCACTCTAGTTATTGAGAACATCAAGAAGTCCAATGAAGGTTCTTACACTTGTCGAGCGAGTAATGCCCTGGCAACAATAGAAGCTAAAGTTAAAATCAATTCTCCTGTCATGGCTACTTCCTGTTCTGTGATTAAAAAATACGCTAGCAGTATAAGCGGAAATTACGTCGTTGATCCTGATGGCGAGGGAGGTTTGGCGCCGTTCACGGTCTTCTGTGACATGACTGACAAAAGTGGAGTTGGCGTGACTGTCATTAGCCACGACAGTGAAACTAGAACACATGTCCATGGATGTGAAAAGGTGGGGTGTTACTCACGTGACATCCATTACACAGGAGCGAGTTTGTCTCACCTGGCGAGTCTGACCAGAGTCTCTTCACACTGTGAGCAGTTTGTCAAGTACGAGTGTTATGATTCAATAATATTCAGGAACGAAGGATTTGCCTGGTGGGTGTCACGTGATTCTGCAAAGATGACATACTGGGGTGGAGCGTCACCTGGCAGTGGTAAGTGCGCATGCGGGATGACCAACTCATGTGCAGACTCCAGTAAGGTTTGTAACTGTGATAAGAATGACAAGGTATGGCGCGAGGACAGCGGTCTTCTCACTGATAAAACAAAGCTTCCAGTAAAACAGCTCAGGTTTGGTGATACTGGCGATAGCAACGAACAGGGTTACCACACCCTGGGCAAACTGAAGTGCTTTGGCATTGCATGACGATGCATTACCTTACACCAGGAAAACTACATCATTCATCAGTTTAACACACCTTCTAGCAATTTATCTTACATTGTTACGCTGTATCATTGAGTAGTAAATTAGCAGAGCGAAAGGTTCTATTCTACCTGTGATAGTGGCCGTAAAACCGATAGCTTAATGGATGAGAGCGTGAAAATCATTCTGTCTAGCTGGCACGAAATTGGCAAATAATGCCCTTGATTAAAGTTTTCCTGAATCACTGGTTTAACTGTTAAGATGTGGTTTAAAGCTTTGAAAAGACAGCCTCTTCAATGCTTATTACGGTATGCACACTGCTTTTAAAATATCCTCTGTTTGGAAGATGGCCATGTTTTAAGTGGTCTAGCAAAACAAGCAGTTTGAAATTTGCAAAACCGTAACAAAGAGAAGAATGACAGAACTCAAACAACTGGAGGAAGTGTTCTTCTATCCTTCCCCCTCCCACCTTCCACACGCAGAAAGAGCTTGTTCCTTTCTTTTGTACCCCTACCCCGACCAACGAGAGCTTTTTGCAGCTCTTTTTCTCCAAAGAAGATGAGTACTCTGACAGCAATAGGTGAGCCTCGCGGATGTAATCAATAAATTTTCGTTAAACGAAACAAAAAAGCAACTTTAGCTATAAAGCTAAGATAGCCTGACAAGTACATTAGTGTCGTTTCACGATTCCCTGAAATAATCAGTCTAAGAAGACCAATGGCTTCCCTCGAGCAAGTGCGGAGACAGAGTGAGGCTCGTTCCTCGCGGTATTTATCGAGTTTGGTTCACTTGCGTTAGCAGCCATATTATAACCGAACTAGAAAAAAATCGCAATCAATATTACGTATTCTACTGTGCTTGTTCATTGTTCATGAACTGACTGGCATAATGATTAACAGATTACCGTATTTCCTCGAATAATAGCCGGGGGCGGTTATAAATTGTTTCGCGCCAAAAGGGGGCGATTATTCGAGGGAAGGCGATTATTTCAAATGCATGTATTGCTCACTGGAAGTCGTGCACTAAGTCTTTTGCTTTATAATCAAGTTACCTATCAAAACTAATCACATCAAATAACCTGAACAAGGGCTTTTAAGTGTTCCAAATTTGTTTCCCTGTTTAACTTTCAATTTTAATATCATTGGTGCATGTCAGAGCTTGAGTAGACTGCTTGCAGTCCGCGTTTTCTCTTAAAATTCGCTCGCCGCTCGGTGCTTGGGTTTCTCGTTCAGTAACTTTGCAAAGAAAAATAAGAGACTGCTCGCAGTCTAGAGCCTGAGTCGTCACAATCAGTAAATAAAAGCTTGTTTGTTGTCATAGGTGTCAACTTTACTCTACAGGGAGGGAAGAAAATAGCGAAAGGGGTGGGTAAGGGTGATTATACCGTCAACTCTCTGTTGACGAAAACCTCCAAAAGACAGACACCTCTCTAAGACGGTCACCCGGGGTTGGTCCCTGCCGTTTTTCAGTCATTCCACTGTAACTATACTCTCTAATATATAGATTTACCCAGGGCTAAAAGCGAAGCTCTGGTTAATTATACATATAAACAAAAAAATTAAATCGTCACGGTAATGAAAATGGCATGCCCAATATGATCAATAGATCTAATTATAAAAAAAAAATTGCACGTGCAGCACACTTTTTTCTTATCAGCAAAAAAACAAATTTGCACGTGCAGCAGGCTTTTTTGTCTTTCTTTGCCGTTGTTTTGCATGACCACAACGCTGTTTTGTAAGACTTAGACCCTGTTTACATGGAGTGGGGGACCCCGGTCTAGTGGGGTAAGTTTCTTTTGTTTTGTGTCCCCCAGAGCGTGAAAACAAAAGAAACCAACCCCACTGGACCGGGGTCCCCCACTCCATGTAAACAGGCCCTAAAACGTCAAACTTCCTAGGTACACATTATTTTTATGGAGGGAGGAATTGTCGTATGTGCTTACCCAATATTTTGTTTCCCGTCTTCATGTTCGCTTTTATTTTTCACTAGCCCTCATTTACACCTTGCTGGCCGCTAGCATTTCTCATCAGGGCGCATAAATGTTGGGCGGTGAAACGAGCGCCCCGCTCTTCATTTAATGTGTGATGCGGAGTGGGACTGGCACGAGCGCTCTTTCCGCGCTTCCGGTGCGCTTGAAGGCCGGCGAAATTTTCCTTTTTGCAAACCGGAAATCCTATTTTCTTTCTGTAATTTCAAGCTACACAGTTGAATGGATAAATTCGTTTCATAACAATATCAACAAAACAGTTTCATATGTTTGTGTCTGTATGCCTATAAGTCAAACTTGTTGGTCGTATAATGCCAAAATTTGAGTTTAATTTGAAAGTGTTGAATACCTCCTCTTTCTACCAAATATCACCTAATCGTCTTTCGCCGTTTCGTTTGCAAAAGCTTAACACTTCTTAACCTCTATTTTTACATATGTTAAAGGGAGAAAAATTTTATATGACATAACAAAAAATTAGAGTGATATATATTGATATAGTGGCGTTGTACTGCTTCAAACTTTGCTTCTCGGGTGCAACGCGCCATGGCGATTCGCGCAATGCGTCGCAAATCCGGCAACGGCGTGTAAACAAAATTTATTAAGGGTAGTTGTAAGGTTTTTTCTCCGTTTTTCTTTCTAGAACAAAAAAAGGTAAACAGTAAAAACTGAGGGGAAACTAATTTTGAAGTTTCGAAGAAACAGAAAGACGTATGAGATGTTTTTTTCAAAATTAAAAAGAAGGATGATGGTGATCAGAAATTAGCATAATTTCACCTTGCACGAGCTGCACGCATTTATAAAATACACGTCATCTAGTTATGAAACACGATCTGCTGCCTTTTAGTTTTGCCATGGATGACATGGACGAGATTTTTCGTTCGTGTTTTAGACAGTACTTAGTTGTTTTTGTTTTTGTTTTGGCGAGTAGTAGAACGAAAACATAATTCAATGGTAGAGTCATGGAAGTAATAAGAGAAACCTTTTAAAAGAGATGTTTGTCTACTCCAATTAAACCTCCCGCAAAAAATAGCAACATTTGCCTCTCGGAGACAGCGTACCAGCACAAAGAAACGAGGAAGAAGTGCAAGAAAACAAATCAAGCCTCCATAATTCAGTGACAGCAACAACAACAATGTATAAACCACATCGCAAGCCCTCAACGAAGTCGAAAACAAGCGACATTTCTAAGCAGAGTCCCAGTCCACTGCATCACACCTTTTTGCTCGGATGCGCTCGTTTCACCGCCCAACCTTTATCCGCCCTGTTTCTCATATTCTCACCGCCGCTTTGAATTTTCATGTTTCTCTTCCTACGGAATTCGTCTCCTTTGTTTTCAATCACTCGCCCGAGCTCTTTCTTTGTTATCCACTTGAGTGTAAAGATCAAAAATAACGTCGAAGAAGACACGGCTTAGTTGTTGTTTTTTCTTTCTAAAAGTCTGGGCGGCCATGCGGTTTCCTTCCAAATAAAGCCTCGAGTTGCATTTGAGTTGCTATACCTGTCGATTGAGTCATTTTACATTGGTATGCCTGTGGTGCGGATGGACGGTCGGTCAAGAGGGGGGGGCGGGCGTACAGTCACGTGACTATCAAAATTTCTCGGATGCATAGGTCACTAAATTTTCTTCGCCATGGTGCTCTGCTTCGCGCCCTTCACGCGCGAGAGAGCTCCGCTAAGACGGACACTTCTCTTAAACGGACAGCGGACTCTTGTGAAACCGTCAACTGACACTTGAGAAGTGCTTTGTGCAGTAAACATACCTCAAAACGCAAATTTAGATGCTCTACATGACAGTAAATTGCTAGATTTTCATATTTTGTAGTCTTTCTCCAATTCATAGAGTCAGCTGTTGACTGCATACTGTTGCGCTTTTAGACCGCTAAACCGTGAACTTTGGCTTGTATTATGAACGTTTGATTTTATAATAAGAAAATTATTTCACATTTGTGTGCAATATTCTAGTTTTAGCTGTTTTTCACAAGTTAAGTGCAATGTTTCCAGACTTTTCGGGCTTGAGTCCTTCCTCAGTCACAAATTTAAGTGGTTTCTGAACCATAGTATCTTTCACTGGCTAGTCTGTTCCAGGATGGTGGGGAGCGGGCGAAAAACGCCTCAGTCTCCCCTCGTTTTTTTCCCCTCGTGTTTCTTTTTGCGCTCGCCGCGTAGGATTTCACTCGCTTCCCACTATCTAAACGCCTGAAACAGGCTATTCACTGGCTGGTTCCATTATTTTGTTCTGTTGAAGTGATGGATTACAATTTAGAAATATCGACCCAAAATTTCGTGTTATCCCCTAATCCCAAGGGTTGGTTTTGGCATCCCACCTCGCGCGCATAGTTTCAATCCCGAAACTCGCCCCGATTTTGCTTTCAAACCGAATCCCGAGCTTCAAATAAGGGAAATCCCGGGTCCCGGAAAACCTATTAGGCACCCTTCAATTTGGGATCCAACGCTAAATCGAGCTCTGCATTTCATATGAATCCCGAATCCCGCGGGTAAATAAGTTAAATACCAAATCTACTAAAAAAAAACCTTTTCGGAGGACCCACAACAATTCTGCCCAGAAAGTCATCCTCCACTGAGGCATTAGCCGTTCTCAAGTGGCTGCCTCTAGAGAAAAGGCGATTTCAAAGAAGGTGTGTACACGTATACAAATGCATCAATGGCCNGGATGGACGGTCGGTCAAGAGGGGGGGGCGGGCGTACAGTCACGTGACTATCAAAATTTCTCGGATGCATAGGTCACTAAATTTTCTTCGCCATGGTGCTCTGCTTCGCGCCCTTCACGCGCGAGAGAGCTCCGCTAAGACGGACACTTCTCTTAAACGGACAGCGGACTCTTGTGAAACCGTCAACTGACACTTGAGAAGTGCTTTGTGCAGTAAACATACCTCAAAACGCAAATTTAGATGCTCTACATGACAGTAAATTGCTAGATTTTCATATTTTGTAGTCTTTCTCCAATTCATAGAGTCAGCTGTTGACTGCATACTGTTGCGCTTTTAGACCGCTAAAC